GACATACCGCTGTGCCACTGGGGCTTGATATGTCTGATTCCACACCTTAATTTTAAAAAGAATGATACACACAAGGACAGTGAAGAAATTACAGTGATATGCTACTAAGTATTAATGCGCAAGAATTAGCTGTTTAGTCTTAGATCTTAAAAGTGTTTATAAGACCAATTGAATAGGAATAAAAGAAGATTTGTTTGTTTCTTATGACTCTTACTACTGTGTGTACCAGAGGCAACCTACAGTCCCCATAGTCTCCCCTAAATCCCTCCATAAAAAAAAAAAGGCTTGCCCTACAACGCTTAGAAAGTACTCTTTTTTTCTTTTTTTTGTCAACATCTGCCCTTTTAATGTCCTCTGTACATTATTGCTGGCGCCACTCCTGGTTATCTTTGGCGTTACTCAAGTTCTATGCTAAATTATTTTAAACTATTTTTCTTTCTTTTTCCAAACTGGTCACCTTTCAAGGCTGGCCGTTGCGTAGACTTTCTTTAAGGTCACCCCCCATACGCTACAGTGGATTGAAACCGTTAGCACACTGAATTTTTTAAAATGTTGTGGTAAGTACAATTTGTTTTATGTGTTACGTTGACAATTCCGACACATGCCATATATACAGCCTCCAATAAGAATATTATGAAAATGTATTTCATAAATTAACATGATAGCTGCGAATTATGCATAATTTTCTTTAACCTTATCTTACATAATTTAACGCAAACCTAAGCATTCCACCCTTCAATAATATTTTATTCAACGCTAACAAAAATTATACTGAGTCAGTTTTTTTTTGTGTAACTGACATAATTAACTTGGTCATTACAAAATATAAACAACTTTCTTTACTCAACACATATATACTCCAATACAAGCCTAATAATTCAACCATTCACACTTGTTATTTTATCCAACTAGCCGCGATCCGCTAGCCACTGGAAGGACAATTTAAACATTAATAAGTACATCAAATGCGATAGGCACTGTTCATGAAGCTTTATATGTGACAGTTATACTTCGGTGCTTGGTAATTTCATTGAGCAGTCCCTACTTCGTCAGGTATTATTTGGTTAATGGCCGAAAACGCAGCTAACTACGAGTGTATCCAACTGATGAGCTAAGGCAGAGTGGTTATACGAGAACTTTTGTAATTTGACTATTACTTGCTCACCACTGGCACAGCGGTACGTCTGCGGATTATCAACGCTAGAAACCGGCTTTCGATACCCGTGGTGGGCAGAGCACAGATAGCCCATTGTGTAGCTTTGTGCTTAATTCCAAACAAACAAGACTATTACTTGTAATTAAGACTATTTATTATTAATTCTAATCATTGTTACAGACATTTAGTAGCTCTTTTCGTAGAAGCCATGAAACTCTGTCGCCAGAGTGATTGTACCTATAAAATTGTAGTTTTTTCGTCCATTATACTGCAATGGCGTGGACAAGCCTTTAGAGTTGCTCGGGCGCCACCAGGGCATGCTCACATGGCAGACATCGCTTTGGTTGGTTCCTTTGTGTGTATGTATGCAGAAAATACCTGAGTTTGTGGCCAAATAAATATTATGTTCTGGCATTGCAATGTATGTAATGACATCAAACAACTGGCCATGTTATATGTTCTGTGTATGGGGAGAATTTATTCTTACAGACTAATTGATGTAGTTATTTATTATTAAAGCGTGTTTCTGTGATTTGGTTATTTGTCTCTCCCCCCTTCTTCATACTACTCCTATAGCAAATACTTTTTAACCCATGGTAGCACAACGGCAAGTCTAAGGGCTTATAACGCAAAGCATCGTGTTTTGACACCCTTTGTGAGAAGACTACATATAGCCCATTGGTAGCTTTGTACTTAATAACAAATTAACAAACATTTTTTGCGCCTCAGTTCCTTTATGGGTCGAGAACTTATCATCGCTTGCGCAGGGATTATATTTATAGTAAGATATGTGTGAAATGTTTACTACAACTACAAGCATTTTGTGTAAGAAAAATACTTTTTCAATTAATAGTTTTTGATTTAAATTTAAATTATTGTAGATATATAAAGGACATGCTTACCCTCATTCTGTGTAGTTTTCTTTACATTTACTTCTGTTCTAGCTTGTCAAACTGGTTAAGCCTTACTCTCGTTCCCGCATCTGACAAAATCAATAAAAACACTGATTTTCTTATGTACTTTTAGGTTACCATTTCTACAGCCTTCGCTTAGGTTCTGTTATTTTTCAAAATTACTTTTTTTTTGTAGTTGGAACATAGCAATGTTTGTAATTTATATATATAAAAGTCTTTAAAAAATAAAGTAGTAGATTTCTGAAGTTACAGTGCCCAGGGAAGTCATTTGGGATGATTTCCTCTGATACCATTTAACTCTGGTTTGATTATCTTGTTAATTTCAATTTATAAAAAATTTATTTAAAAATGAAGTTTTATATATTTAATCAAGCAACCCAGAAATTCATGTGGCACACAAATGTTTGGCTTCATGAAAAATGACTGTCTGTATTTTGACCAAATCAATCACTAGCAAGTAATTGTAGATATACAAACATTGAGATTTCGCTTTTTAATACGTGCATTTGGTTTAGTTATAATTCCATAATTTTATATTATTACTTAGATATTAAATTATGAAATTATGTATTAAGTTTATTGTGAAATAACGGTAGCAATGAAAAATATAAAGTTCTACCTATATTGGTGTGGTTGTATGATAGTGATAGTAAATAACAATTGTTGAAGAATCAAACATAACTCTTTTTTTTGCAATGAGAATAAAATAATCAGGTCTATACAAAAATATTTTTTTTAATGAAAGTCTATGAGTCAACTTTCAGAATTATATAGACTAGAATAATAAAAACCTAAGGACTGCAATATTATCATTCACATCATCACATGTTGTAGTGATCACACAGAAGGTTATGACCTGTATTCAGTTTGTTAAGTCTATGAATGGTATTAACTCATCTAACAATTCAGTTTGAAGATTTGCAATTTAAATTCTTAGTTGATTGTAGGAAGACAGAATTCATGTATTTGAAGTCTTTGGGAATTATAGAGAAATGTGATTGGTTATCACAACTCCCCTATCCCTCCCACTTATTAGGATAAGTAACACAGTGATGTTTCTTTCATTCAATCAAATAAGTCATAACATTAATTTTTTCTACATAATTAAACTTAATCTGAATCTTTTTAATAAGAAACTTGTATGAACATACACATAATGCAGAGAGAATATCTCAAAATTTCTGTTGATCATTTCTAACATGATTCTTTTAATTTATTAAGTTTTACTTCAAATCATCTAAGACTTGTTTTATACAGGAAAAGTTGGCTCTCCAACATGGATTTAACTATTCAGAGCCAGCATACAAAAGTGGAATGTGAAGCAGTGTATGAATATAACATTAAAAAAGTGTCTTGTAAGGATTGTGATAGTTGATTGCAACTTTGATTTCTATACCAGTCGCTTTATGTGTTATTTGAAGTTACTAATATTTGGAATTCTCTGGTATAGTTATTTGTTTTCATACTTTCCAGTTGTTGAAAATTCTTGAATATGAAATGCATTTTTGTTTTCATAATGAAAGAAAAAGGAAAACATTTAATTAATACTACATGCATTGTATCCAGAATGTTATACAATAATTATGTTCTACCTTCTTTTCATTTGCAGAAAATCAAGTCTTTAAATCGTAAAGACAATAATCTGATTTTGAAAGGTAAGATGACTGTATTACTATGTATCATTATTTTATCGTGAATATTAATCGTAAAAAAACACCTTCTAGCAAATATAAATCAAAACAAAGCTTTTTCTACACATTTTTTCTTTATAATACAAAATGTAAAGGAGCATTCTTTACTCTTATAATTGAAAGTAAATGTTATAGATATGTAGTTGTGATGTCATATGCACTAAATATACAAAAGTATGGGCCTTTCTGCAGGGGAGTTGTGGGGGAGGGATCCCCATTGGAGAACTCTCCAGTGTCTCCCCTTATCTGAGATATTAGGGTTTAGGCATTTAAAATTTTTGAATTCTCCCCACTGACAAGAGAATGTTAATTTTTTTTGGACTGGCAGAATAATAGTACAATAAAACAAGAACCAATTGAAGTAACTCCAAGCAGATGAGATCTAGGGGTGGGTTTAATAGTAGTTTGAAATAGCATCACACTGCTGTGATGCTGTGCAAAGAGAGCCTGAGGTAATTTTGGCCTTTTTTTGGTAGTTAAAAAGAATGAATAGAGATTTCTTAAGGGCAAAAAAATATTTGTATTTAATAACACCTTACCCCTTCTGCTTCCAACTAACTCTTAAAAATCAGAGAAACACCACTGTACAGAAGCATTCTACACAAAACTAAACTATAATTTACTCTTGCAATTTGTGTGTGTCTATACACACACACACACACACACACACACATATATATATAAATTTTTCCACTACCAGTCCACTAAAACTTATAGCAGATATGTCTGTGGCCACACTGCCCATGGCACCTAAACATTTTGGGGATATTCCGTTTATCAGGCAAGATCCAAATGGTGATGTCAAACTAGCCAGTTAAGGGTTAGGAGTTAAGTGCTTGAACCCACAGTGTCTCAACTCCTACTGCCTTATGCTGTCTGCAACCAATTGTGGGAAGGCAGTTACCCGTAATATTTAGATACAACCTTTAAAGTAGAAATAAACCACCCTAAATTTCTACAATGTAAAATGCCAAATCTCCACCCTTTTATGAGATTTACAAAAAAAAAGGCAAAAATTTTCTCACAGTAGAAATAGACTACCCTGTTTTTCTACATGGCTCCCAACCTCCTCCATTTTATTTGATAATTACAAAATGATGTTAAACAGAACTACAACCCTTACCTTAATAGTTCTTAATTCTCCATCATCCTCCCTTTCTCATGAAAATTTGTTCATGTATAAACCAGGTGAGTTGAGACAAGCCCAGCTACCTCAAGTTGGTCTTTCTGCTCTAGTATACTGAACAAAATACTTAAATATTTTAAAGTTAATTACTTATAAGCCAAGGATGACCTTTAGTAACTAACAACCTCTATGTTCTCTACAAGGTAGTTTCCATGATTGACAGTGTACTGAGCATTTTATTTAGATAATTTATGAGTTGTAAGATAGGCTTATAGAGGATTAAATTTGTAGGTCTATCTTATAATTTCTAAGCATATATATGTTTATAGGTTTCTTGTTCATTAAATATTTACAACTTAAAAAATGAACTTGTGTTACATAATGTTATGTATAAAAATTCACATCATTTATTTAATACTTGTATCTGTAAATATATTCAATTTAGTTTACTCTTTTCTGATTTTCTTGTTTGAAGTTTCACATTTCTTTTTCTCTAAGACTTTTGTTACTTAAAATCAATGT